CCCTAAACCAGTCTGTGATTCTACTTCACGCTAGCGGTGGGTGCCAGGAGCTTGACCAGGCTGGAAGGGGCAGCTTTCTTCTGCTTTTCACAGGCAAATGCTGTCCCTGTGATGTGGACACCCCAAATAAAACCAAAAAACCATGACAGAGAAATCTGCTGCCTGGGGGTCACCCCACAGGAACCCAGCTCCTTCCTTAGTCTTGGCTATTTCACAGCTGTTCCGAGGCCGCCAGGCTCGGGCAGCCCAGCCACTGGCTCCTCTGGGGAAAAAGCAAAGAAAAAAACAACTGTTGGGGTGGGGAGCAAAGGCAAAGCTAACCCAGCGAAGGTAGAAGAGGCTTCCCGATGAAAAGCAAAGTGCCCTGCAAGCAGGGCTATGCCCTTTGCACCCAGAGCCCAGCTCACCCACAGGGAAATGCTGTCCATAAGAGTTTCCCCTGCGTTTCCTCCTCGCGTGCAGGCCAGGGGCGAACGCCCATTTGCCCCTTTTCACCTAAACACGAGGAAGAACTTCTTTGCTGTGCAGGTGACGGAACGCTGGGACGGGCTGCGCGCGGAGGTTGTGGAGTCTCCTTCTCTGGAGACTTTAAAAAAGCCGCCTGGATGCGTTCGTGGGGGACATGCTCTGGGCAGCCCTGCTTCCTCAGGACTAGATGGTCTCCAGAAGTCCCTTCCACCCTGATAATTCTGTGGCTGCTTCGTGTGGGCTGGGGATCCTCTCCCGGCTGACCGTGGTACGGTTTCCCCCACGCGCAGACCTGATGTACGTGCTGTGGCTGTTCTTCGTCGTCATGGCCTGGAACTGGAACTGCTGGCTGATCCCCGTTCGCTGGGCTTTCCCCTACCAGACGCCAGCAAACATCCACTGCTACTGGCTGCTCGTTGACTATCTCTGCGACCTCATCTACCTGCTGGACATCCTCATCTTTCAGACTCGGCTGCAGTTTGTCCAAGGAGGAGATATCATAGTAAGTGGGGCGGGTGGTGACGGTCACCCATCTCTGAATCGAGCTCTCCCACCGCGGCTGTGGCCACCAGGGCTGTGGCCGCAGGACAGCAAGCATCTCCCCTGCCACGCAGTGGATAAGCCTTTTTGTCTGCCAAACGTACATTATTTTTCCTCTGAAGTCAACCCCAGCCCATCCCGAAAGTGCGTGGTCCGCCCTGGGCAGGGATGTTGAGGGGTGCTGCTCCATGGGGCGGTGAGGTGGGCCTGCTTGCAACCTGCAATGCCCAAGATAAGTGAAAGCCCTTGATTTCGTTCTCTATCCAATTAAATCAACTGTGAAAAATAACACCTTGAGGGTACAGACTTCCCGTTGCCCACGCCAATGCTCAGGCAGGGAGGTTTCTCCCCTAAACTCCGATTTTTGATGTGCTTTCTCTGGGATGCGAAATGAACACAGGGTGTCCCAGGATAGGATGGGACGGGAGGAACACGGCCAGGGCTGTGGCTCCCCC